ATGCTAATATACAATATACATTATATATATTAGATAATATATATCTATAATATAATGTAATATATAATATGCTATAAATTATATATATTATATATATAATAATATATCTTATATAATATATAGTATATAGTATATATTATCATATATTTATATATTATCATATATATTATCATATGTTTACATATTATTTCTTTATATATGATATATAATGTATTTGTATAATTATATAAAAATATATTTAGCCTATTTTTACAGATTTTTCTTTAAAAATATTTTCCTTTATCCGTATTTCAAATACTTTGCATAAATTTATTTTTATGTAATAATATATTTAAAGATACATAATATCTTTATATAAAAATATATTCTACATATAAATATATAATAAAATATAGATAAAATTTATTATATATATCCATATACCTACATATATAATATCTAAAAATACATAAAAATGTACGTTTAGTGTATACTTATGTACAAATTTTATAATGTACTTTATCTACATATTTAATATATAAATACGTATTTTGTATATTTTATTTATATAAATAGATATAGGGCCCCACTGTCCCTGTGGGGTGTGGGGTGTTCTAGGGCAGTGTCCCCACTGTCCCCACTGTCCCCACTGTCCCCACTGTCCCTACCAATCCGGGGCTCCAGGATCTGCGGGGTGGGGAACTTTTCCCGGGCTCCCCGCGACCCCGCGTGGGCTCCAGGGCCTGCCGCGAGGCACTGGGGTGTCCGCGACCCCACAACAACCCCGCTCCCCACGCTGTGCCCCGCAGGTACCACGCGGAGCGCGCCCATTCCCGCGCGGCCGAGCGGTTCGTGGCGCTGGAGGCGCTCCTGGAATCCCGCGGGGCGGAGATCGGGACCATCCCGGCCAACACCGAGGCCACGGCCGGGCACCTGCGGGGCCTGAGCCGCTACCTGTCGGACGTGGGGCTCGCCTGCTCCCTGCGTTCCCAAACCCACGCGCGGCAGCTGCGGGAGCTCCGCGGCGGCCTCGGGGAGCTCCAGGGATCGGCCCGGCTCCTGCGGGAGCGCTGCGGGGTCCTCGGGGCCCGCCTGGACCGCGGCGTGACAGACCTGTCCCTGCTGCTGGAGGAGATGCGGGCCGTGGACGCGCGGCACGGGGAGGAGATCGGGAACGTCACCCTGCTCCGGGGTGAGGGCAACGGGCAGCTCTTCCCGGGATTCCGGGGGATTTTGTGGGATTGGGTGGGTGCACGGTACGGGGACGCGCTCGGGAACATCATCCTGCTCCGGGGTGAGGGGAACGGGCAGCTCTTCCCGGGATTCCGGGGGATTTGGAGGTTTTGAGTGGGATGGGGTGGATGCACGGCACGGGGACGAGCTCGGGAACATCATCCTGCTCCGAGGTGAGGGAAACGGGGAGCTCTTCCCGGGATTCCAGGGGATTTGGAGGTTTTGAGTGGGATTGGGTGGATGCACGGCACGGGGACGGGCTTGGGAACATCACCCTGCTCCGAGGGGAGGGGATTTTGTGGGATTGGGTGGGATTTGGTGGATGCACGGCACAGGGATGCGCTCGGGAACATCTCCCTGCTCCGAGGGGAGGGAGGGGGGAACAGGGGCCCTTCCTTGGATTTGGGGGGATCCTGATCCCAAGGGAGGTGGAGGAGGGTCCAAACCGTCAGTGCTGAGGCCCAGGAAGGGCTGGGATGTGCAGGGAGGCACATGGAGCATCCCATGGATGAGGAGTGTCCCGGGATGGAGGGACAGGGACAGCGGGGAATTCCCACCCGCGGTGGGAGCGTCCCCCTCACGCCTCCTCTCCCTCCCTCCCTCCCTCCCTCCCTGCAGGCGTTCCGGGTCTCCCGGGCCCCCGCGGCCTCGGGGGGGACGTCGGATCGGGCGGCCCCGCGGGGATCGGGGGACAGGAGGGTGACATCGGGACCCCGGGATCGCCGGGACCGCCCGGCCCGCAGGGACCCTCGGGACCCCCCGGCCCCCAGGGGGAACGGGGACCCCCTGGAATGAAAGGATTCCCGGGATTCAAAGGCTCCAAGGGCGGCTTTGGATCCTCGGGATGGCGGGGCCAGGGCGGACCCACGGGGGATCCCGGACCCGCGGGGCCCGAGGGGGGGCCGGGAAGGGCGGGACCCCCCGGCCCGCAGGGCGAGCAGGGGCTGCCCGGGACCCCCGGGAACGCGGGCCGGGCCGGGCCAGAGGGGTCCAAGGGAGACCCCGGCATGAGGGGACCCCCGGGACCACCGGGACCCCCCGGACCCCCGGGACAGTGACTGGGGATAAAGGGGGGATCCCAAATTCCATCCCCTGGGACCCCCCGGACCCCCGGGACAGTGACTGGGGATAAAGGGGGGATCCCAAATTCCATCCCCTGGGACCCCCCGGACCCCCGGGACAGTGACTGGGGATAAAGGGGAGGGGGTCCCCAATTCCATCCCCTGGGACAGGGAGTCCCAAATTCCATCCA